AAAAAAAAAAAACACCACAACCCAAATGCTATAGTTTGTTTCAGGTCTCTTGCAACCTGGCGCGAAGACTCCTATCCACTCATTCACAGTTGTTGAAACTTTTGGGAAAAGATTATAAGTTTGAGATTACTGTCGGACTAAATGGACGAATTTGGTTGAAAGGATCTGTACATAGAGATGTTTGTACTTTTTTTCATTTCTAGTGAAAGTATGTTGGTGATGACCGAAGATTTCAGATTATTACGATATACAATATTATCAAATGGTCGGAATATGTTTTGGAAAGCGACATACCAGGCTACGTTGAGGACGAAATCCGAAAAGCCAAAGGATTTCCCACTGTTGGAGAAATATCAGAAGGAGGAAACATGGAGACTAGCTGAACAAATAATTTTCCCTAGGCACAGATCTTGTTTTCCAGTGCTTTGTGAGTTTACGTCGTTGATTTATGTGTGATTGTATCTGGAGTCTCTGTTGAATTTGCTCGCAAACGAGTATTGATACCCGTGAAGGTAATGCACCTTGTTATTTTTCCCTCTTTCTACCTTTGCAGGGTTTTTGTTGAGCTGCTTGGAACAGTTTCTCTTAAAATAGTTATGCTGGTTTAGAATATGTATTGTATGGTTTATAAAAATTCTTAAAGACTTTGTTTGAGTATTTATCGTTGCGTATTTCTCGCGTCAAGTATTCATCGTTTGAATATTCTGTGCAAGTGACTTCAAGGTACTACCAGGGGTCGATAGATGGGATCGAGTAGCTTGCTGGAGCAGCGTCAAGCTGAAGACAAGGCGGCATGGGATGCATACTGGAAACTTCGTGACCTCGATTCTCGCGGAACAATTTATCCGCGAATAAAATACTACGCCCACAAAGCATTTGACGCTCCCGCTACGTGGTTTAGAGGTATGAAAATGTTTCTACACTTTTTTTAGTGGTCTTCTTGCGAATTTGTCAAAGAATTCGGTTTGAAGGTGTTTTAGAGAAGATATGCATTTGGATAAGTTTCTAAGAAATCGCTTTCATCAGAATTCTGAGTTTCTATTGATTACACTTCTTTACATCCTATTGTTTTTAGAAACAATTGTTGAACCCATCAATAATAGGAATCGTTTGCCATACTACCAGCGTAAATTGACTCGAGTGCCTGAAATAGATGAATGTGGAGTTAATGATCAGGTGAGTTATTCAGCGAAAGCAGTTGTTGTCATACTTAGTCAAGAACGTTGTTTCAAAGACACCTCTTTTCTCCACTTTTTTTGAAGACTGACTTACGAAGAGGGGATTAGTAATAGTAGAATGACTAGAGGTTTTTGCAAAAAAGTGAGCCGGGGAAGAAACCACCGCCGCACTGTTTGAGCCTAGCATACCCTCAAAGTTCCGCTCTGTCTGTAAAAAGCATTAGCGCCAAACGACATACTTCTAAGGAACTTGCGCCTC